GGTTTCAGACTTGAGAGAGAGAGAGAGAGAGAGAGAGAGAGAGAGAGAGAGAGAGAGAGAGAGAGAGAGAGAGAGAGAGAGAGAGAGAGAGAGAGCAGGCACCCTGACTTCTCCAGGACCAACTTCTAGATGTGGAGTGCTGGAGCGATGGAGTGGTTTATGCCCAGGCTCTCATGGTGGGCGGCAGTCAGAGAAAGCACTGGTGATCGACGTAGCTGATTGCAGACACACTTCACTGTTCTTGTGCGACAGATGGTGTTCACACTTCAAAGATGATCTGGCGTCAGATTTGGTGTCATTCCTCTTGTGTGGCCGAGGCTCGGAACCCTAAACTGTTCCTCTGTGGCGTGGCAGTATGGTTCACGTCGATTACATCGGGACTACATGTCATGGACAACAAGCTTAAGGTCACGTAGTTGCACTACTACCTTTTTTCTTACTCAAATCTGTCCGTCGCCTGATCACATTTTGATTCAGGCGGGAAAGTCGTAGTCTGACTGAGTATGCTCGGAGAGGATGTGCTGGGACTCCCTGGTCATGAGAGCTTTTTTGAGAGTCGGCGGGAGCAAAATCACTGCGCGCAGCGCCATGGCGTTTCCGTTTCGTTGGAGACACATCAAATCATGATATGGTACCGAAACATGCCCGCACGATCGTCTTCATTCGTTAGCATTCACCTGACATTATCAGTCATGATGTGCGGCCCTTCGTGTGCAGTATCAGGTAGTCTTTTCCGCGATGCCAAGCCCCCTTGTCTGGGCAGATGTTCGGATGGCAGCTCTGTTCTGTGCGTCTGTTGTATTGCATTTTAATTGCGGTCTGCATCATTGCTGGCCGCAGTGCGTGTCTCGTATGTCGATGAGTCCTTTCCTTGCAAATGTCGACAATAAATGAACTTGGTCCTACTGTGGAGCCATTTTCTTTGTCTGATACAGGCTACTTGGCTCCAGTACAAGGAATTGAAAGGATTTGTTGTGGAAAGACTAGGATTTCTTGTGGGAAGAGTTTGAACTTTGAAGACAGATAGATACTCTGAAGGAGGAGGAGGAGGAGGAGGAGGAACTGTGAGGGTGAGTTGAAGCAGAGAGGTGGTGATCGCCACAAACAATGTGAGGGCATTGAGTGTTTTATCCATTACAGGCTACTTCGAGGTTGAGGTGAAGGAGAAATGGTGACTTGGAGGAGGAGGAGGAGGAGAAAGAGCTGTGAGGGTGACTTGAAAGGATTTCATTTCCTGTGGGAAGAGTAGGATTTCTTGTGGGAAGAGTAGGATTTGTTGTGGGAAGGGTTTGAACACTGGAGGAGGAGGAGGAGGAGGAGGAGGAGGGATTGTTGTGGGAAGAGAAGGATTTGCTGTGGGAACAGTTCCAAGACGGATAGATATATAGGAGGAGGAGGAGGAGGAGAAAGTGGAGCGCGAGCTGTGAGGGTGGGTTGAAGGCGATGGGTGGTGGGTCAGCACAAACAATGAGAACATTATTTTTTTTAATCTGTAAAACCTTTTCCTTTTCTTCTTCTTCTTCTCCTTCTTTTTGTTCTTTCTTCTTTCTTCTTCTTCATCTTCTTCTTCTTCCTCTTCTTCTTCCTCTTCTTCTTCCTCTTCTTCTTCTTCTTCTTCGTCTTCTTCTTCTTCTTTGTCTTCTTCTTTGTCTTCTTCTTCTTCCTTTTCTTTTTCTTCATCGTCGTCGTCTTCTTCTTCTGCTGCTGCCTCTTCTTTCTCCTCCTCCTCCTACTACTACTACTACTACTACTACTACTACTACTACTACGACTACGACTACTACTACTAATACTACTACTTTCTTCCTCTTTTTCCTCTCCACCTCCTCCTCCTTTTTCTTCTTCTTCTTCTTCTTCTTCTTCTTCTTCTTCTTCTTCTTCCTTTTCTTTTTGTGTTCGAACACATACTCTTTCTCTTCTTCTTCTTCTTCTTCTTCTTCTTCTTCTTCTTCTTCTTCTTCTTCTTCTTTCTCCTTCTTCTTCTCCTTCTTCTTGTTCTTCTCCTTCTCATTCTTTTCCTTTTCTTCTTCTTCTTCTTCTTGTTCTCCTCCTCCTCTTCTTCTTCTTTTTCTCCTTTTCTTCTTCTTCTTCGTCTTCTTCTTCTTCTTCTTCCTTCTTCTTCTTCTTCTTCCTTCTTCTTCTTCTTCTTCTTCTTCTTCTTCTTCTTCTTTCTCCTTCTTCTTGTTCTTCTCCTTCTCATTCTTTTCCTTTTCTTCTTCTTCTTCTTCTTGTTCTCCTCCTCCTCCCCCTCTTCTTCTTCTTTTTCTCCTTCTTTTCTTCTTCTCCTTCTTCTTCTTCCTCTTCTTTTTCGTCTTCTTCTTTTTGTTCTTCTTCAGCAGGGAGTATCATGCTTCCAGGACAGGATTGTACAATAAGTTTTTAGAATGATCTTAGAACCTATTTATGAACCCCACTTTTCCACTTATTCACATGGCTTCCGACCAGAACGTAGTGCTCATACGGCCCTTGATGTTATAATGGGTACCTTTCATGGTGCGCAATGGTATATTGAAGGATCCCTGGAGGCGAAAAGCCCTGGAGCCGTAAATCATGGAACTCTGTATAAGATCATCTGGCGAACAATCCGAGATAAACGGATTCTCAAACTAATCCGCTCTGGACTACAAGTTTTTTTTCATATGCCACACGGAGAGATTGAAGAGGCAACCATACGGGCTGCAAGGCGGCGGTCCTTTCTTCGTCCCCGACTATCAAATATATACCTTGACTCTTATTCTTCTTCTCCTTGACTCTTCTTGTCCTTCGACTCTTCTTCTTCTTCTTCTTCTTCTTCTTCTTCTCCTTCTCCTCCTCCTCCTCCTCCTCCTCCTTGATTCCGACTCTTCTTCTCCTCCTCCTTGACTATTCTTCTTCTTCGCCTTCCTTGACTCTTTTCTTCTTCTCCTTGACTCTTCTTCTTTTTCTTCTTCTTCTTCTTCTTCTTCTTCTTCTTCTTCTTCTTCTTCTTCTTCTCTTTGACTCTTTGTGTTCTTCTTCTTCTCGACTCTTCATCTTCTTCTTCTTCGTTGTCTTCTTCTTCCTCTTCGTCGTCTTCGTCGTCTTCTTCTTCTCCGATTTCTTCTAGGTCTTCTTCTTCTTCTCCTCCTCGAATGTTCTTTTCTCCTTCTCACGCATGACACTGCATGGCCCCCCTCCCACTTCTTCTTCTTCTTCTTCTGCTGCTGCTGCTGCTGCTGCTCCTCCTCCTCGAATGTTTTTTCCTCCTTCGCACACATGGCACTGCATGCCCCCCCTCCCACTCTCCCTCCCTCACGTCCTTCCTTCTCCCCTTTTTCCTTTTATGTCCCTCTCTCTCACACCTTGCCCCCCGCCCCCCACTTCTCTCACACCCTCTCTCCTTCTCCATCACTCTTTTCCCTCTTCTCTCCCTTTCCCCTTTCTTGTCTCCTTCCCTCCTCCCTCCATTATTTGCTTCTTCGTTCTCTCATACTTTTCTCCTTCCCATAGCATGAACCACAAGTTGCTTTACCCTCTTATGAGCAGTTCTTATGCGCAAACGGCGAAAAGCGCTTCAGTGAATGTGTCAACCCCCCTCTTCTTCTGCTTGATAATCGGTCCCATGGTTGAAGAGCTCTCTCGGCTCTCTCTCTCTCTCTCTCTCTCTCTCTCTCTCTCTCTCTCTCTCTCTCTCTCTCTCTCTCTCTCTCT